TAACCTAACAGAGAACGCGAGGCAACCGGTGCTCTTACGCACCGTACTCACGTATGGCAAGGACGGGCGACGATAAACGGGCAGGCCTAATCAATGAATATATTTTTGATCTGCTATTTACAATTTTGCCAAATTGTTTTACTAATAAATAGCAACTTCAAAAACCCCAAATGAAAATAAATTTGTTTATAATTCCAGCCGCACGCGAATTAAGCCATGTATTTATTTTAGAATGTCTCACATGAAAATTAGGGGTAGGGGGTAAGTGGGGGAGAGACAAATTTACATTAAATAATATTAAAAATTGCTAATAATATTAAGAAAAAGAATATTTAATAAAAAAAAAATTGAACAAGTTATTCTGGTGCGCCAAAATATTGGTTTTCCAAACCTCTAAAGCTTAAAAAACCCTAAAAAACTATCCAAAATAGTCCATGCTAACGCGAAATAACTTATAACCTACCATAACATAGCCCACTTTCGGCCTATGCGCAAAATAAGTACCACTGTGCTTACGCGAAAATCCGTTTGTGCTACTATGACGGATCTAACGTTATGGGGGTGATTCTGCGATGTTGGCAAAATATTTTCAAGGTATTGGGTGTGCTACAGAGTCACACAAACACGCGTTGTCACCCTGCAAACGATACAGAACGAAATAAGCATATCTGACGTAATTTTCGAAAATAGAACTTTTCAAAGGCGAATGTTTCTTTAGAAAACCCTAAAAAACTATCCGAAATAGTGCTCTCTACGCTAACGCGAAATACCTTATAACCTACCATAACCCAGCCTATCTTCGGCCTATGCGCAGAATAAGTACCACTGTGCATTCGCGAGAATCCGTATGTGCTACTATGACGAATCTAACGTTATGGAAGTGATTCTGGGATGTTGGCCAAATATTTTCAAGGTACTGGGTGTGCTACAGAGTCACACAAACACGCGTTGTCACCCCGGAAACGATACAGAACGAAATAAGCATATCTGACGTAATTTTCGAAAATAGACCTTTTCAAAGGCGAATGTTTCATTAGAAAACCTTAAAAAACTATCCGAAATAGTGCTCTTTACGCTAACGCGAAATAACTTATAACCTACCATAACCCAGCCTACCTTCGGCCTATGCGCAGAATAAGTACAACTGTGCATTCGCGAGAATCCGTATCTGCTACTATGACAAATCTAACGTTATGGGGGTGATTCTGGG